GATCAATTTTTATTATCAATACTATTAAAAGTTTTTGTTACTTATCAATTGTCCCTAGAAAATAATACATTCACGTATGAAAGTTTTAGGATAACCATTAGAGAATGATGGTACAACCGAGGTACCAAAAGCCTGAGAATCACCGTGGAACCTCAATACCCATGGTTTAGCTTCATAAATCAACAACAAGTTGATATCTATTACTTGATCTAACTGATACTGCATGGATCGTTATAGTGCCATCGGCGTACCAATTCTACCAACATGAAATTTGTATATATATTTCCAACACAAAATACGATTACGAGTATAGTATCAGTTGGATATCTCAAATGTCAATTATCCTGGGGCGTATGGGTCGTAATAGCCACCCATTTGCGAATCTTTTCGTAATTCGAAAATTTTTTTTTTATCAGATCGTTAAAAGCCCCGTTTTTATTTCTTAAAACAAACCTGTATTCCTTAGAAACAAAAAAAAAATCAAAACGTGAACACACGAGGTATTTCATAATTTGAACTCTCATTGACTGGTTGATGGGGGTGATTTTTTTTCAACTTTCAACAATTATAATTCGTTTATTCACGGGAAAATATCTTAACCAAAATGCAAGGATTAAGCCGGGAGGATGTTATATACCGACGTGCTGCTATCGTTTCGAAAGTTTGTACCGGATCCGAGAGGTGTACGTCCGTCCCGGTAATCCGGCCGAGAATCGCGATTTTCGCGGGTGGCAAAACGAACGTGTAGGAGAACACGACGGAAACTCCAAACGAAAAGAGAGGATGGTAGGTGGTTGGAGGATCCTTGCTGCTATATTAGCACAGGCCCGCGCTCGTTAATGCGCTAATCTCGCGCATTTAATTCCCGACCAATTAGGAAGCTTAACGACGTTCGTAACTGCGTATATCGTGAAACGAAAATCTCGATTATTTCCCTTTCCCGATACTTGCCATATCGAATGATAAGATTTAAACTTACTAGTACTCTATATCTATATATTACATATTCTCAATATATATGTCTATCTTTCTCTTTCTGTAATTAGGAAAGTCTTTAAGAAAAGTCCCACACGTACATACGTACACGTACATATATTCGAAAGCAGAACCGATGGTTATCACGATTCTAGCACCCAACGCCTTGATCACTGTTTCACAAACTTGGATTATCATCGTTCCTACCAAGAGGGTGATTACGTTCACGCTGAGAGAGAGAGAGAGAGAGAGAGAGAGAGTGAGAGTGAGTCGGGACGAGTTGTAAATTAGTTTCGCGTTGAACTAGATATCGTGGAGTTGATTATTGCTAGTGCACATTCGGTAATTGGGTTTTCGTTGGATGTTGGTACCAAGGAATTTATTGATTATTATAAATTTATAATACAATTTAAATAATCGCGTGTAATAAATAAACGCCTATATAATTAGAACGCGTTTTAGTTTCGTTACTAACTTGTCTCTACATCTGCATATTATACATATGTACATAGTATATATGTATGATATATCGATGAAAGCTCATAATCATGTTTCTCACTCTCTCTCTCTCTCTCTCTCTCTCTCTGAGGTTTCCTTTGAACTTGGCTATGTTTCCGCTTTTGGGTATGATTACGACAGTGACGCCATTAGAAACAAACGAGTTTATGGGACTGGTTACACGAGTAGGATCGCACGAAAACTAAGAGCTACGAATGAGTTTGTGTGTAAGAGAGAGAGAGAGAAAACAGGGAGGAGAGAAAGAGAGGTCTAAGCCGTATCCATTTACAAGTTTCAAATCGTTTCTGCCAGCGTGCCTTTTGAGAAGAACCTTTTACCACTCTCAATGCACAGTAAAATTCTGAAACGCGCTTACCAGCCTCCTGGCTTTTAAACGTTAACATGCTCGCTTGGTACAATGCCGGGGTCGCATTATACTCAAGAGTTGAAGAAACGTAGTAGTAGTAGTAGTAGTAGTAGTAATAGTAGTAGTAGAAAGAAAAGAAAGAAAGAAAGAGAAAGAGAAAGAGACCAAGGGGTCGCTCGACAACGCGAGCTAGGGGTTGAGACTAGAGAAAGATGGAAAAAGTTAAAGGTCGAAGATGGCGTCGACAAGCGCGAACGAGGCGAAAGAAACTACCCCTAACTCTTTACCCCTACCTTTACCCCTTATCCTTTTCTTTTCTCTTCTCCGTAGTAGTCGTCGTCGTAACACTTCGAATTTTGTTGAAGAAATGCATTTTACCTAGAGCATCTGGTATTATTTAGTCGTACGATCGATCAAAAAACAATGAAAGCTAAGATGAACGCAGCAACTTCTTACTTTAATTTCTTATCGCATTACGCCTTTTACCACCAGTGGATCCTTTATTTATCGTCCTTTTATATTTATAGACGTAAATGCATTTTGGTACAAAAGGATGAATGCTGGTGAACCCCTCTAAGTAGCAAAGATGACTAAGAACACAAATGCAGGCTCTTGCATACTATCTCACTCTCTTTCTCTCTCTCTCTCTCTCTCTCTTACTCTAATGCACAAATTTATTATGATTCCGTGTCGCGTTTTACAATCGTTTATGGATCATTTTAAGAGAATGTCGTCACTTGTGGCTTTATGACGATAATAGAACGAGAAACTTCGAATCTACTTACGATAATCTCTCTAGGAATATTTTTTTTTATTGAAATAAACGCATCTGGTTCGTATTCGGTGTGGGTTTCTTCCAACAGCTGAGTAAACACTTTTTCTTATTAGTTATTTCAAGAACGATTCTACTCTAGCATTACCTTTGTTCTTTGTATAAAGGGCATCACGTGAAAATGAATTTTTTTTCTTCATATGGACATAATATCTACTAAGAGAATAAAATTTTCTCTCGAATTCGAATAGCACACACACTTAACTTGATCAAATTTATCCATGATTCTTCTTGGAATCTCTGACCACTTTCTTGGTTATTATTATACTTTTTCATTTTCAAGATTATATAAAAAGATTGTTTAGAATCCTAGTACAGATATAATATGGTAAATTGATGGTTTCACTTATAATCTACATTAAATAGATATCACGAACGAAAAAAAAAAAAATACTAAAAACTACTACGTTGTTCAGACAATTAAAAGGCATGGTTAAATCGCGAGATAAGAAATTCCATGATAGGGAAATTCCATAGGTAGAGGACTTAGATTTAGACTATATAAGGTGCTTGGGTAGAGACTCCAACATGGGAAGTAGTTAAACGTTACCGGTGTCAGAGCATGGCCTTTGTACGAGGCGAGTGCTTGGGCTCTACAGAGTTAGCTAACTGGCGGAGTACTATAAATTACATAAATGAAGTAAGCCCCCTTTCTCGCTCAAACGGACGTCTTGCCAAGTTTATAACTTAATCACCAGCGCTTCCTATAGTATATAGGAGGAGACGTTCGGGTGGCTGAGCAAAAGCACGATACAGAGAGAGAACGGAAGAAAAGTTGGGGAAATGCTAGTAGTAGTGTATGAGTGTGCAATCAGTAAGAGAAAAGTCAAAACCGAAAATACCAATTTGAAAAGAATGTAATAATTCAAAAGATATCTTACGTCATTTATTAGGGGAATTTACTAACGAGGGTTCAATCGTAAATTTTCAAACACCTTGCGTATAAAACTCAACAAAATAAGATTGTTCTCTTTTGAACTGTATTTTATCTTTCTACAGTTTCTTACTATATTCGCTAAATGGTTTTTAACGATTAATGTATAAGTAGATCAATTTTGATTTGTAATATTCTTACAATTAGATTACTTATACGTTTGGTGTTTACGAATTTGTTGAAAAGGAACTCTTAAATATTTTTTTGATGAGACTCTTAGATTTATCATTGTAATTGTAGTGGGATATCCTAAGGGAATTTGATGTAGGTTGAAAGACCTTTTAGGTTGATTCTTGTAATCGTCTTTTGGTAGCAATAACGCATAACCGAAGTGCTGGGGAACCAATATTGGTGGAAGCACGGGACTTCGATTAGTAGTAGAGAAAGTTTGGAAGATTTAACCATTGATTTTAACTGGTATCGCGAGGGTTCGGGGTTAGCCCGCAGGGGTTTCGACCTCTGTCTTGATCATGAGCAGGACTCGTAGAGAGACAGTAGTAGTAGTAGTAGTACGTCTAACCAAGTTGCCAAGGAATCTTCCATGATCCCGTTGGGTGACCTGCGCACCATTAGTTCGGACACCGTCTGCTGAGTCGGTAGAAATTGTGAAAGTGTCTTTCTCCCACCAATGAGATTGTTGGCCCAACAGCTTTCAGCATACTGCTAGTTCTCTATGAGAATGCGCTGATTAGGCGTATCTCAAGCCCCTTGCCTATGGGGATTGTGATATAAAGCTCTTAAAGTGAGTAACATATGTCAGATCAATATACTATACTTGACAAACGTACTTTCCAACTAATTTGACATAACTGGAATATAAATTTTATACATGGATTATTGTTTAGATGTTTTTATGCTTTCTCAAATCGATTTTGACTAGGCCCAAATTCGAAAAGTCCCCCCACCTGTTTTCGCGTGTGGTATTCCAACCACTAAGCTACCTAAGATTCTAGAGTTTCCATTCCTCTTAAGATTCCTACAATTTTAGTCCGAGTTTCTTACACTAAGGAAACTAACTTCTGCTTATCTTGAATCACACCACGCACCCACCGTATTCGTATAACTCGCACTACGCGAATAACTCGAGTCAGAATTACTAGCTGAAAGAGAATCAAGCACGGCACGATGGGGTCGAGATTAAAATCGCCTGGAGAGCAATGCAAAGTTTTTAATAACCCTTGATACTTGATTAAGTTACGACTTTTGGCTGATAACCTTCTTGCTGCAGTTCCTTTTAATCATTTTTATTACGAATTAAATAAATATTATAGAAAATCGTATTAATTGTATTTGACCAAATCAATGATTGTCAAACTTTATTTTTTTTACATGTAACTCCATCATTTTTCTGTCACAAATACTTTGACTTATCAATCGATTATAATTTGTTTCAGGTTTTGGCTTCGTCACATTTCAAAGCGAGGACGTGGTCGACAAAGTCTGTGAGATTCATTTCCACGAAATTAACAACAAAATGGTAAGTCATCGATCTGTAAAACTAATAAATCTTGTTCATCATTGGTCGAAGAAATATACTCTTCTTCTTTCCTCGTCCAACATGTACCCGCACAGGTAGCATCAAACGGTATTTGCTTTTCCCTCTACGTGGGTGAACACGTCTTCGAGCAGAATTAATTTTCCATATAATCGAGAAGAAGGACCGGGTTGGTGGGGTTCTGTTTGCATTTGACGCTCATGCAAGAGAACAAGGGTGCAAGTTCAATTAGATCAAACGCGTAGCAAAAACGATAAGATCTCTTTAGAAACCTACTCTATCATAGGGTTGAGATCTTATGACGGACATTTTCATTTGTTCGTTCTCGATTACGAAAATGATTGATGCTATCTGAAGGGTACGATATTCAAGTAAGAATAGAACATTATTTTGATGAAAATAATAATAATATAAAACAACATTTGTCGACGTTAATATATTTCTGAATAGTTACATTCTTACTTGAACGTAATAAAAAAGAAAAAAGAATACTAACATCAGTATAACATAGTTATTAGTAATAGCCAGTGTAGTGGCGATAAAAAAAATTAAGTGGATATGAAGGAAGGTTAAAAATGGGGGATGGAACTTTCAAGGTCGAATGCAAGAAAGCACAGCCGAAGGAAGTGATGCTCCCGGCGAACCTGGCGAAGACACGAGCGGCTGGCAGAGGTGCATATGGTGAGTTGGTGATGGTCGCGACACCCACTCCCACCACCTATCGTTACGCGCCGTATCCCCTCCCGACAGGTACAGCGGCAACTGCGGCCGCGGCGGCCGCACACGCTGCCGCGGCAGCTACCGCTGGTACCCCTCACCACCACTTGCTGACGCCAATCGTAGCCACCGCAGCACCGAGCGCGGCCGCTACCTACCAATACGCGGCTGGAGCCGGGAATCCGGCCGCGGCCGCATCCACCGCTGCGGCCGTTTACGATGTCAAACGTGCATTGGCCGCAGCAGCCGCTGCGGCCGCTGCCGCCTCTTACAGGCCGCATCCGGTCGCCGCAGCTGCCGCTTCCCGTGCGGCTACTTTGACTTATTCCATGAGCGATCTTTTGGGCGTGCAGGGACTCGACATGGGTGCCGTTTATCATCCCATTCCGACCATTGGTCTATGACCCACAATACTTACCCCCCTATCAAGGCCGCAATGAACAATCGTAACACGCTCTCTCGATCGCAGTGGACTTTATGCGTTCATTTAATTTATTTTTGATTTGTTCCGCATCCGGAACACAATCTAGTATGTAAAATCTTTTCTTTTGATTATGACGTTTGTATTGAAATTATTTAATGTGCGTGTTTTCTTTTAATTGAATGTAATTTCTGTCCACTGTGAATGTTAATATGCATTTTATTTATTAATCGTACACGTCTGTTGTTGTTACGTTACTTCATATACATTCCCCAATTCTTAGATATCATCTCGTCTTTGTTTTAGTCGAACAAAGAATTAAATGATTTTATCGAAAGTACTAAATATACTGTAGTTATATCCGCGATTTATCTTCGAACGAATTAAGATGTAGCGCTAGGCCATCGTTGACATATCGAAAAGTGCAATAATCTACGTAGTTTAGAAAGAAAAAAAAATCCTAGTTTCGTGTATATCGCGGACAAGAAATTATTGTCGCGTGTGAGCCGTTCGAGAAGTTCAGTTCGGTAAAACTGTGATCTTAGAGTGCAATTTAAATGCAAAAATAAATAAATAAATGAATAATAAAAAAATAAAGAGTAATTCGTAGAAAAAAGAAAGTTTGTAGATTTCGACTTTGACGTAACTTGATGATCAACCACGGGGCCTCATTTTCAAGTAGCCAAAGAGTAACGTAGTTAGCAACGAGACAAAATACAACGCGAAAAAGACTGGTAGTGATTTTGTAGTTGGATTAGTAACGATGCAGAGATAGTAGGACAATAAAGAAAGAAGTGTTCAAATCTTTAGAAAATAGACGAGAATTCGTTTCGATAGACAACGTTCGATAGCACGCGGCCAAAGTCGTCAATTTTCCCCTGAGGGAATTGACTTTCCTTTCCGTTGACTCCCATAATAAAAAAAAAAACACGATTTGATTCGAAATTAATCGAAACCCTCTCACCTGTTTTCACGTTACAATTTAAGCTTCGTAAATGATTTTCTTCTTTTAAATCGTATTATTTGTTTATAATTTTTTTCTTGTTAACAAAGATTGATAATTTGATAAATTTTATCAATTCGTATACCTAAAAGAAATAATTCATTAGTTTTCTTTTTTTTATTACGTTTAATAAATAATAACAATCAAATGTGAGGAGTACGGAAAGAGAAAGAATAATTTCCTTTTTGCGAAAGTATAATATAATAAAATAAAATAAAAATTATCGAATGTCAATTCACGGTAGATCCTAGCGTTGCGAATCAAACGATGATCGACAGCAAAAAAAGTCGTTAAATTATTATAAAAAAGTGGCTTATATTATATTTTCCAAGAGATAAAATTTAAAATGATAGTTTTGAAAAGCGATGGCGCCCAATGTCGAGATAATCGCTCCACGCTCGTATATTAAATGAATATATATATAAATACATATATATGTATATATATATATACATTCCCAGGTAGCGGCACGCCTAGTGTGTGTTACATTTGACAACTTCCAAAGGTGAAAAAAAAGCCTTTTTTATCTTAAATGTTGTTTGTGTTTTTTTTTCTTCTTATCGCGAAAAAAATTGATATGGCGAAAGGCGAATAAGCAAAAAATTAATGAATTAATTAATTAACAGCCCTCGGCAAATGGTGGTCAAAAAAATAAAGCACTTCTCATTCGTCGCGCCTATCAAAATATTTTTCGCTATATAACTTCATGAAATTTCATAATATCGAAAGCAAAAAAAAATGAAAAAGAGAACAAGTATTCCGATAATAATGAAAGAAATAAAACGAAAAGAAAAGAGAAAAATTAAAAAACTAAAATGAAAAAAAAAGAATTTTTAAAATACGTGTATTTCATTTACGACGTACGAGAATTCGAGAAGACAAAAAAAAAAGAAAAAATTCCGCGAAAGGTCCGAACTATCCGTCAGTATATATGTCACTTATTCCAAAATAAATTACTTTCAAAAATGATACAACATATACACGGATAGATCATATAAGTATATGATAAAATATACTTATACACATACGTACCTAAATCCATTCTAGATAAACGGAAAATTATATACGTATTATTATTATTATTATTATTATTCTTATTATTATTATTATTATTATTATTATATTGTTTTGTATTTACCTATTTGGTAACGCAATAGTATTTGATATTAATATTCGATATATATTTTGTGAGAAACGCATTACTTACACCTTATAGTTTTTTGTAATAGACCTTACAGTTATACATATCGAAGTATATCTTCTTCTATATCTATATATACATATTATCTACATATATATATATATATATATACCTATATACATATTTAGGTAACTAGGTAAACATTTGTGTTGTTAAAAACCTTAGTTTTATTTATTCGAGAGACTAGGCGATCTAGGTTCGATTAGTTAGAGCGAATAATTTTTTGGCGAATTACTATACTATTGTATACGTTCCTACCGTTGAGACTACTAGTGAACTATTTAGCTTTTTTGAGGAGCTACTTATAATATCGTTAGATTAGAAATATATTTTAGGTACTTCTTCGTGGAAGATCACATGCATCATTCTTCGTCAGCGAAAATGGTTTGGATAATCATATAAATATATATATACATACATATATATATATTTATATAGGTATAAATACCATCTCGAACGGAAATGAAATTAAACGAATTTTACTGTGTCATATCCTTAAGCTGCTGCCACATTATGAATTTCCTTTTCTCTTATCGTATATAACACGTTATCAACATACCTTACGGTCGTCATGTTTGATGTTTCACCGTTCGAGAAGGACCGATTATATTACGGGAAGCAAGAAATGAGAAACATATGTACATCTTCCACCGAGAATACATATTGCCAGCGGCTTTAATGAGACCTATTACATTGTACCTCTACTTAACAAGCTACGTTACATAGCCAAGTAATATTATACCTCTCTATAGGATATACACACTAAATATATATCTTACGTATACGTGTTCTATACCTGTATCCTGGACCTTTTACCGCTTCCAACACTCTCTCTCTTTACCCTTAATCCTTACACCCTTTATCCATATATATATATACTCCTATACTGCTACCCTTATACACCCTCCTCGAAACTTTTGCTTCACGTTAACATGCTCCTTAACAAATCCTATTCCAACTTCTTATTCCTCTCTACCTTATATTATTATCTTACCTCTTTCAACCTTTCTATTATATACACATTACAAACAGTAATTAACAGTTCTAAAACTATATAGCATCATTTACCTTAATAATAATGCGTGAGACGTGTGTCCTAGAAAATGTACGTACTTTGCCTGAGAGAGGCTCAACACTCTGTCAGTTTCGTAAGTAGACCAGATTTTAACATGCGGTTTCATTTCTGTTTAACTTTGTAATATGCTTTATTTTTGGGCCGGATTTTGGTTTTGTGTCCTCAATGATATGACGACAACGAGAAAAAAAAAGAAAAATAAAACGTCCAACAAATATGAGGTGTTTATTGGTGGTGCCATAAATGATCAACCATAACACACAACACCCATCGATCAAAGCGTTTCTTTGTCTCTGTCATATTTCCATAAATAAAAAAAGAAATATATAATCTTTTCTTTCTCGAAAATAAAAAAAAAATAGCAATAATGGCTATTGACATCGAAATATCAAATGTTAATCGATTAGCGAGTGATAATCTCAAGCGTAATGCGTATCATTCGCACTAAAAATCTTTTTAAGAAAGCAATAACGAGAGAGAGTGAGAGAGAGAGAGAGACTATTAATGTTAATATCGTACATAAACGTCTGCTCTATGTGGAATCGTTTTGTTGCATCTGAGAAAGTACACGTATACATAAATATATTAATTGGGAAATATATTTGTTGCAGTATATGAATTGCACATATAATATTTATGTATAGTACTTATAAAAATCTCCTATATATATATTAAGAAATTAATATATAAATATCTATCTATATATCTATCTATCTAATTATCAAATATAATATTTGAACAAATTTTCATGATAATCATATATAATACGAGAGTTAATAGTTAAATTATGCTAAACTTATTGTTGTTCAATTTATTGCAAAAAGAAAAAAGAAAAAAGGTAATAAAAAAATAAAAATAAAAAATAAGAGTCAAAGAAAAAGACGATGTCGAAAGAAAAAAAAAAAAAAAGAAAAAAAATCGTGCGCTTGACGCAATCAAAACCAGCCCGGTAGAAAGACAATTAGGTACGGAAACAAAAAAATCACTAATACTATTAAATTTGTATCAGTGTATTATTAATGGCCTAGAATAATAAACGCTCTTATACTTTTCCATCTGCGTAATATTGTGAGAGCAATTTCGATATGAACACTAGAAATAGTAAGTAGTGTAGAGTATTGTGGTCGGTGTTTTTTTTTTAATAAATATTGTATCGTCAATTATTATAAATGTGGTAGTAAATCGTCGGCAATAGGTTTTACATCATGTGGCTGACAAAATTTGATGTAACAAAGAAATAATAAACATAATTTATTTCATTTTTTTTTTAAATTTATTTATTTAGGAAAAGGAATAATAAAAAAAAAACGGGGATACACTGGGACCGTTTTGTCCGCCATAAATGCTTGACAAATTGCCGACCCTTAGTTCGATATCTCTAATAAGCTATATAGTCAGCCTAGCAAATATTACTTAACGGTAACTGATTAACTAATACCTTTTAAAGGCTACAATAACCATAGATCATAGGAGGGTTTATTTTGTCGTAGATTGAAAATACCTATCGGCCGCGCGTAGTAGTTACTAGTACCTTATTACACAATTTAGTCGCGCTATATAGACAATGCGATATATACATATATACATAGCCAGAGTCTTAGTTGTGTGGTCTTTAAATTAGTATCAAATTATGAAATTTCATGGATGCATTTTTATCTCTTCTTTCCCTTTTTTTGTTCTGTTTCTTTCTATTACTACTTTTTCTATTCTCTTTCTCTTTTTTACATATATACATATATACATTATTTTTCTTCTTCTTCTTCTTCTACTTCTTCTTCTTCTTCTACTTCTTCTTCTACTTCTTCTTCTTCTTCTTCTTCTTCTTCTTCTTCTTCTTCTTCTTCTTCTTCTTCTTCTCCTTCTTCTTCTTCTTCTTCTTCTTCTTCTTCTTCTTTTTCTTCTT